TATGACTTATAATTTGAATACTGCATTATAAATATTTTAAACTTCCGTAAGTTTTTACGGTACGTAAGAAAATCATAAACTTACGCAATATGTTTACACAAATTTATGCTTTTCTTACGATGCGTAAGAAAATCATAAACTTACGCAATATGTTTACACAAATTTATGCTTTTTTTACGATGCATAAGAAATGCGTAAATTTGTGTAATATGTTTACGTAAATTTACGATTTTCTTACGCATCATAAGAAAAGCGTAAATTTGCATAAACATATTGCGTAAGTTTACGATTTTCTTACGTACCATAAAATTTACAAAAGTTTATGCTTATATATTTTTGCTGATGATATTTATCATTTACTTCAATTACATCATTAATTAATCATCTGATACTTATCTTTGTTAATCCCATATTTCTTATGCACTCTAATTGATCCTTGATTGATTAGTTACACACATTAAACCATCTACTATCAAACCCGAATTATGCCTATAATGATGTTGTAGCATGAGTTCCAAACCAATTCTTGTCGTAGAACTGGTTCTGGCCATGACAAGTAGCACATCAAATTTACTTGTACCAGTTATACAAACAACAAAAAAAATTCAAAATAAGGCAAATGGGTTCAAATTAACAAGATCCAGATATTAACCTGATTTAAAACAGATATTTGCACCAAATATCTGTTTTAAATCAGGTTTATATCTAGATCTTGTGATGCCAATTTGAACCTGATTTGTCTTATTTTGATCTATATATTTCTGTATATAAAGATAGAGTTAGGATGTAAGCTATTCCTTTATAAGTTTGTATTACTAGTACAAATAAGGAAGGCCGATGTTTATGGGATATTGCCTCGCTACTCACATAGTTATTCTGGATCAGATCCATATTATTTCATTAACAATCACTTTGTAGATACCACTTTTCACTAACAATTATTTACTGACAAGCGAAGCTTATTTTACAAAGTAATTCTGGTCAATATCATGCTAGAATTAGAGTTAAAGTTAGTATAATTTATAAAAAAAAAGACTTGTTGATGTCGATATCAATAAAATAAGCTTAGTGAAATGTGAATAATTGTCAATAAAATGTAATATCTATGAAGTAGTTGTTGGTGAAATAATATAGATCCTTATTAAGAGATTCAGATTTAATATCTCTTATTATGATAAATATAATAATGAATCGAGATAACAATAAAGTTGACAAAAATTAGTATAATACTGAGCAACTCCAAAGCGCAAGACACGTGCCTATCAAGTCATTACTGCAGCATATAGAGGATTATATCTGAGACAAAATTTAGGTTTGCATTGCCTGGTCACACTATATTATAGTGATAGCATGGAGATTCATAATCTACACTTTGAGGGCTGCTTTGTAATAAAAGAAATTACTCTTTTGCACATATAATACAAATAGAATCTTAAATCAGAACTGTCTAAAATTTTTTAGCTATAGATTTTTATGGAATTAAATAGGTTTGATTCCTAATTTATTGGACCAAATAACTCAAATCCAAAAGACAAAAAAAAAATCTTTCTAAATTCCAATTCTAAGCATATTATCTAAGTTTAGTACAATAAAGATCGCTTTATTGATTAAAATACAATTTGTCAAAACAATGTTTTCGACATCATACTAACTTCCTCTAAGGCAAATATGAGTATTGTGCTCTCTTTATTACAAATACCACTTTTTTTTTTTTTTGGTTTTATTAGATTTACTAACGTTTAACTCTGCATCTTGTAGTATTTTTCGAGATCTTTTGGTCTTATTTTCTTTGTCTTCTTGATCGGATTCAGGTATTTGTTTTCTTTTCCCTTTAATATCGGCATTTATATTATTTGAACCTTTGGGCCAACCTTTTGTCTTGATGCCTATAGGATTGTTGATAGTAAGTGTGAACTTGGCGATATTATCATTACATCTGATTTGACTTGCAACTTCATTCTCTATTTCACTAACAAAGTCTTTGTAAATTGCATAAAGCTCCTCTACTCTACCCACTACAATAGCCAAATTTAATGTTTTTTCATGAGACTAAATCTTTCTCTCCATTGCTGTTTTTGAACCATCTCTTTGTGAATTTTAGCAGTAAAGATATGATTTCTCCAAAGGTTATCCAAGTGTGAAAAATTAATATTGGTAGTATTATATTCAATGGCATTAAATTCTTTATATAACATCGCTAAAATTGCTAGCTTAGCAGAAAAATCAGCCCCCAATACAAACGAATCTTGATACCAACATTGTGGTATGAGTCTAATATAGAATTTAGCATTTGAAATACAAGTATGGTGGCAAAAAAATGACGACATATAAGGCCATGATTTATTAATGTTAAGCACATATAGAAATGCCTGATGTCATCATATAATATGACAAAATATTCACTCTTTTTATTAATATAGTACACATACTACAGTTCACAAATTCTTATTAGGTCAAGGCCAGAGATCAGCTGGTTAAGTTCTACTAGGCAGACGTTAAACATATCCTCAGAAAACACACTCCTTGGCGAATTTAAATTAATCTAAAATAGAAGTGTAATGTAAGATGCCTGCAATATCATCGATTTTATTGTCACATGATTTTCTTATGTCTATCAGCCAATTAAAAATCAGAATCAGGTATAATGTAAAAAATTCAAAACAAATGTTCTAAAAAATAAAAAATTTTTCACTAAACTATTGTCCTTCTAACTCTAATCTAACTCTAATCTAACTCAAATTCTAACTTAATCTAACTTTAATTCAATCTAACCCTAACCTAATCTAACCTTAACTAAACCTAACTCTAACCTTAATATAAATAAAGATTTGTTTCACATCATGTGACAATAAATCGATTCTACGTTCTGTCCAAGTACAAACCAAATAACTAATACACACCTATCATCCAAGTTCACAATCCAAATTAGCTAATCGGCACTGATAATGCATACTTTGGTTCATTTTATGCCATTGTAATTTAAGCAATGCCAGTGTTAAATAACGTTGGCATGATATGTCAGCTTTTTGGAAGTAATAATCATGATAATCCTCATTATGACTTGCAGATAGCTTACTAATAACCTCATTAAAATTAACGAACTGGCTTTCTTTTACTAGCAATTTTTCAATTGTATACTCAAGTTCTAAAAGCGACAATTTTTCATTAATATTGTTTTTAATAATTCTATTGTAGAATTCAATGTGCTGCATACTTTGTATTCCCGTATTAAACATCCAGTGTGTATAACAAAGTGCTCAGGCTTTCTGACACTAATAAAGATTACATTTCAAATAATTTGTAGCGTCTGAATATTCAGTTAACAACGCAGCCCACCTGTTTTTAAAATTGATTCTACACAACTATTGCACACATAACAAAATACGAAAAAAAATTGCTTTACTTATTATTACAATATCTGCTCATAAAATGCTTTTTTAAATTTTTTTGTATGTGAAATAGGTAAAAATAATGCTTTGTTGTTGGCCAGAAGGTATTTATTATAGCAATCATAGTAGGATCAGCATCAGTATAAAGTAGGCTTGGTGCTAACTCCTCTGTTGTATTAAAAAGGCTAGTAAATAGTTATGTAAAACTGTTCTTGGTTTCGTCAGAAAGAAGAGCCATAGCAGCAAGACAAAAGCGATTGTAATTGTCTACAAGGACTATAACACATAAAACCATCAAATAACGATTGGTTTTTGTCATTGTGTCAAGAAGAATAATATCATAGAAACGAGCCCAAAGCTTTTGTTGAGATGGTCTCATCCAGCAAAGTCCTGTGAAATGATTATCCTAATCTTCAAATCAAGCATCAACATGGAAGGCCAGATTTTCTTGTTTCTGCTTCATTAATTTAAGATATACAGAGCAAGCAACACTCCAAACAAAATTTTGGCAGTGAATAGATTAAGTAAAATTATAGACATTGTGAGAGTGAATATATTTTTTGGAATTTTTATATTGCAAAACCTTAATTATTGCTTCAACTTTTACACCACATTCGGCTAGTAATTTTATATCAGCACATATTGCTAGAGTGAGCTTTCTATAATGTGATGAAAGAGCATTTATATTTCCTACAAGCTCATAGTTATGCTGATTCTCAACCTTTGTTATATAGATTAGATTATTTTTCCAGCAGTAAAAATTAATATAAAACTTGCAACTACAAGTGTTATGCCCCTTATTATAACTTTCGTTAATGTAGGCTTCCTTCCTAGGTACATATTGCCAACCTCTTGTGTATGCGTAGGTATGTCGTCTAGATAAACTATTACCTTTATTCTTGTTACTGTGCGTAATTGTAATGCAAACTCTTGTTCTAACCCATGAGACTTCAACTATCTAATAGTAAAAAAAAAATTCTTTAGTCTTAATGCCATGATAACAATGTACAACTTAATATTTAATTATAAAATTATTTTTTTTACAATATGTTCTAATAATGATACACAAACTGCAATTAGATATAATAGTTCATTTTTAGCCTTGGTTTCATTATCATATCCAGTGCTGTTTTTAGTCTTTTGAAAAAACTTATTAAGAGATTGCTGGTTAAGATTGTAAACAGCAGATTGGCCAAGATCATAGGCAACAATATTGTCATAAACAACAGAATAATCATGGGCAACAGAATGATCATGGGCAACAGAATTATCATGGGCAACAGAATTATCATGTGCAACAGAATTATCATATGCAACAAAATTATCATGCATAATAGGATGATGGGCAACAGAATAATAGACAACAGAATAATGGGCAACAGAATGTTTATGAATAGAGTAGAATGTTTATAAACAGAATGTTTATAAACAGAATGTTTATAAACAGAATGTTTATAAACAGAATGTTTATGAACAGAATGTTTATAAACAGAATGTTTATAAACAGAATGTTTATAAACAGAATATTTATGAGCAGAATAGTCATAGACAATAAAATAGTCATGGATAATAGAATGGTTGTAAACAATAGAATGGTTTGCACTACAATAGTCACTACAAAAAGAAGATTCCTCAGCACTATGATTACTGCTAACGAAAGATTTCTCAGCATCATGAAAGTCACCATTAATGAAAGATTCCTCAGCACCATAAAAGTCACTGCTAACGAAAAATTTCTCAGTACCACAATGGTTACTGTGAACAAAAGACTTCTTAGAAATATAAAAGTTACTATAAACGATATTACAAAGGTTATCGCAAACAAATTTCTCAGCAGCACCACAAGGGACACCACAAATAAAAGATTCTTTGGTGCCACTAGGGCCACTACAAAAAAAGTTTGACAGTTTTTCTTAAAAAAAATTTGCGAGAGAAAAATCTGTAAGAAAAAAATCTTTATTTATGTCTATATTACTTGTATTACTTTCCATATTTTATATTGTTTAAAAATAAAAAGGGTGTTAGTGCATAAGATCAAAATTATATTGTTGACAATTGAGGCTGTAATGGATTGAGTATATCTAGTGTTCCAATTCAGATTAAAAAAATTCAGTTTAATCTAGGATTGAACTGAAACTCGGAATTATATCATTGTCTTTAGAACTTCAGTTCAGAGATAGCAATGTATTTCCAAAGATCTAAATGATTCATAAGATGAAACTGAAGAAATTCAGAAAATGAACAAATTTTAGTTTGTTTCAGAATCTGGAACTCAAAATTAGACTTAATCTAGGCAATTCGAAACTTTTGGCCCAACTCGATTTTATGGTTTGGATTGGATATTCAAATCTGTTGGATCCAGATTAATCAGTATGTTTAGGCACAAGCCTGGCCCAAACTTATCTAAAATTATTACAAGCTTGAAAATTTCTCAGCCCGATTTTAAAATTTACTAAAGCCTGGTATTGATTACAGGCCTAAAAATCCAGGCCCAAGCCCAGTAATTTGAAGTTTGAACAGACTCTTTTGAAAATCTATTTTGATTAGCCCAATTTATTATTTATTTACATAACTAGTTGTAAACCCATGCAATAATGCACAGAAATAAACTTATAAAATTTTTAAATATAATTTTAAAATAAAATA